CCATGATCTTTTGCAACCATTCATCCATTGTCTGAGGTAGATACCTGTCTCTACCCGACACTAATTTGACTCCACTGGTCACGGCTTGTTTTTACAGTTCTTTGTAGTAGTTAAGCGTCGTAAACAAATCATCGATATACTACACTACTACTACTAATACTATTACTAGCACTGACACTTTTGATAATAAGAATAATGATGTATTGAAAACAACACACATAAGTGTTTGATTTTTATTTAGTAATAATAATATCACTAGTCATAAAGTGCTTTCATGAGTAATAAAACATTTCAGTCGAAAACTAAAATGGCAGATTCTTACTGTCATCATTTTCAGTTCATTAATCATCATTACAATTCACTGATTGATGATTTATTTGAAAAACAAAATAGAATTCCTTATAAAATATACTTGGTCAAGGTGTAATAATTAGTACAAGACTACTTACAATTAGATCTTTATCAAATTTTACTCTAATTTACGATAATATTTGTATGGTATATGAAAACTCCTCCTGGAGCCCCTCTGGGCCCTCCGCCGGTCCCAAGCCCGGATAAAGTAGGAGGGTTGAGTATGGGGTTAGCGACCACATCCCGTAGAAAACTAACTCTCTAAAAAACTCTAACCAGAAAAAATAATTCAAACCATTTAAACTCTTCCCTGGGATTTAGAAAGTCTTCACATAGAAAACTTATGATGCCTCATGGTGAAGGCCACGTTCCTTCGGAAGTCACGAGACTGATGCCCTTTCTGAGAACCAGAGCAACAGTTAATTTAGGTACATGGAATGCTCGTGCAATGTGGGAGACCGGTAAAGTCTTCTATATTGTTGCAGTTACTGCATATGAAAAAAAATTTATTGAAACAATCAAGACAATTAATGGGTCAGCGATCATGAGTGGTTTATACATTAAGTCAAGGTTCCGTGGAGAGAGAATCATGTTGGAAAAAAATGAAACAATTAAAGTTGTTATAAAAAAACACATGTACATAGGCATATATATATGTACACAGAAGACTAATCATAAACACCAATAAACTGGAACAAAATATGACAAAATACAACAGAATTCTATCAAATTTCATTTATTTGCGAATCAGTTCAGTAAATTCTGTTTCGTATCGGCTACTGACTTCGATGCAGGATGTACTGATGGCTTTACATGGATTAGAGTTCAAAAGATACAGCTATTATAGTAAACATAGTATGTTTAGACCACTATTTCAACTTTAATAAACACTATTCAATCAGTAACCCTAAGATTCTTATTCATTGAGGATAAGCACCAATAGCTAAGTATCCTCACAAAAAATTCAGGATTTTGTTTAAACACATATGACTATTGTTTAGTTGGATAGTTAATTGACAGAGTAATCCAGTTTAGAGATAATAGCTGGTTTTCACTAATACTTACCAACTCAAAAACATGAATCTATAACATCAAGAGAGACTGAACATAAGATCATTATAATGCATCGGTACCTTAAAAACTATAACAAACTGTTCGAGAAATCATCAATAATCAATACTTACTTACTTACTTATGCCTATTACTCTTCGTAGAGAAGCATAGGCCACCCACCACCACTCTCCACTCAACCCTATCGTGGGCAATCCTTTCCAGCTCTTTCCAATTGTTATTCATCCTTTTCATATCTGCTTCTGATTCCCGACGTAGTGTGTTCTTCCACCTTCCTCTTTTCTGTTTCGCTTCAGGATTCCAAGTTAGGGCTTGCCTCGTGATGCAGTTTGGTGATTTGCATAGTGCATGTCCTATCTATTTCCATCCTCTTTTCCCAATTTCCTCTTCAGCTGAAAGCTGTGGTATCCGGCCAATAGATGTAAATAAATACCTGTACTTTTTTGATGATGGTTGAGGTAGTTCTCCAAGTTTCAGCTCCATACAGTAGAACTATCTTGATTTTCGTATCGAAGATTTTGACTTTGATATTGGTTGAAAGTTGTTTTGAGTTCCATATGTTCTTCAACTGTGAGAATGCCGCCCTTACTTTGACAATTCTTGCCTTTACATCTGTATCAGATCCTCCTTGTTCATCGATGATACTTCTCAGGTTTGTGAAGGATTCTACATCTTCTAGAGTTTCTCCATAAAGTGTTATAGTGTTGGTGTTCCCTGTGTTGTATTTTGGGGACCTTGGTTTTCCACATTGTGTATGTTGAGGCCTGCTGCTGCAGAGGCTGGTGCTACACGAGTTGTCTTCATCTGCATTTGTTCATGTGTATGGGATGAAAAATGATTAATACTATTATTAAAATATTAATAAGTAATATAATCTTACAAACAGAATAATAATGGTACAATGATGTAATTTATTCTATTCTATAAAAAAAATTTAGTTCTCTTACAAGATTTCATTGTTTTTCATACTAAAATTAACTGATAAATCATTAACTATGAATTCACTTTTATTCGAATGAAATACTGATTATTCAGTCTATATTCATTCATTATGCCATGGTTTCTCTACTTTTTATAGAATCTTTTGACAGTGGTCTTTTTCTCTCTTTATTTCTCTGTTTTAATTTTGGTTTGTGTGTGAAAATGTAAAACTGGACTAATAGTTTCTTCTCTTCTCAATTTATAATTCAAGGCAATGCCAAAGAATGTAAGGTTAGTTAATGTATAATAATAATAATAATAAATCATTGTTGAAAAGTAATGTAAATGTATTTTTTTTCTTCATTCATATATGATGTAATACATTCAATCTATTTACTTGTAAAGAATGCTGATTACTGAAGATTGTGTAGGTGTAGAATGAAATGAGTAATTGAGTAGGTGAATTATGGACTAATAGAATTTCATTGATTTATTTATTATTTTTTTAATTATTTTTCATTTATTTATTTATTTTTTATTAATAACATAAACATGAAAGGAATTTAAGAAATTTTATTAAAAAATATTTATCAACAACAAAACCGTATACATTGAATTGAATGTTATGATGTTTGTTTGTTTGTATTATATGTGTGTGTAACGAAAATTATTATTGCCAAACTTGTTGAATGATAAAAGAGATAGATGAATTTGAATTATTCTGGTCACTATGATCATTAGTCTGGAAAATAATAAAGTTTAGAAATAAGTTTATCATGTCTCTTGTTTAATATTGAAGTGAATTGAAGTCACAGTGTGTTATAAGTTAATGGGAATTTTACAATAGAATTTTCAATGAACTGTGATTCAAATACTTGATGAAGGGTTTAAAACTCATTTCAAATAGAAATTTTGATGTCAAGTATTTAAAGATTCTTTGCCGGGAGTGTTGAAGTTGGATTTTGTAACAGTTGGTACTTGTCAATAAGCCTTATCCACAATATTATGAGAACTGACAGTCTTTGTAGGATCGAAACCTACGTCACATAGCTTCGCTAAGATGTCAGCACGGAATTATTGAGGCATCGACTGGCATCACGTTGAATTAAGATACTTTTATTGAGAATATTTATTTAACTATTAGGAAGTTTGGTTTGTAATATTTTTGTGTTGTATCTAAACGTTCTATTCTCTTTTCCATTATCACTTCTCTCTTCCCACTTCTATTCATTTCATACTTTCCCATTTCAATAATTCAAAATGAGGAAAGATATAGAGTATTGATGAGTTTTTAACTTTTACGGCGTATTTTTATAGTTTGATGTCATGCTAAGACTATCATTTAGAACTTTTGAAACCTATGAAGCCATTTGAGTCCTCAAGTGTCTATAAGTGTGACACAGAGAATGAATGATGGTGAGTAATAAAATTAACAATGACAGCATATTAATACACTTTCATTAGCCACCGATTGTGTTATAATGCAACCCATTGTTGTGTTTGTTGGGATATTCAGAAAAATATCCCAAAAATTATCCTGTTAAGTCTAATGCTGTCCTTGGACTTGACATGGTATCATTTTCCTACTGGTCAATATTTATCTGACGTGTCATTTTTTTGTTGGCAAAATATTGTAGAAATGTTATTTTCTATTTTATGGTACGTTGTGGTCTGCTTGATTGGTATATAAACAGAGTATGCTTGAAATATAATGATTCATATCACAGAGGCTGAGACTTGTGTTCTAGACTTATCTGGCTGGGCTAGGCGGAAAGCAGGGCCAATCAGAACTCTAAGCTGCTCATACGGATTTACGCGTCATTGTTCCAATCGATAAGTCACTGCTCTCTAATCGGCGGTCACAAGTTATAACAGTGTTAAGTAACGATTTCGCGTAAATGAACTTTTGAATAATGAAATTATACAAGACAGGAACGATGAGGTGGATACTGAGTGAATATCCTCTGAACTTGAATTTTATCAATGTCATATATATGTTGGTGTTATTATATTCAATATCAATCTAGTTCGACAAAACTCTTCATTTTGTTTAGTTACAATTGTGCATATCATTTGAAATTTGTTTATACTATCTGCTGTAATCATTTGAGTTAATGAAGAATGAAAACAAAAATTTAGATGATTGTGAAAAAGAAATGCCAAATTTTATCATGTTACCTGAGTGATATACTTTAGCTTTTCTGGTTAACCAATCACAATGATAATAATAAAGGTCATTTATGTACATGACTATGATCAAGTGTAATTATCCAATCACAAATTAACCATGTTTATACATACGCACACACATATTTGGAGTGGTTTTTAGCACTTGTTTCAAATAATGAGAGATCAATGGTGAAAATAAAACCCATAAAATATATATTAATCACGTTTACAATATTACTTTCAGTTTACTTTTATAATAGTAAACACTTATAAATGTGGAATATAGACTTCGCCAATAAATTTTCCATTAAATATATAGTTGAATAGGGTGCAAATGATCTTTTATATCGTATAATGAACGGTAAATTGATGTTTGACAGTGAATCAGCCCCAGGTGGACCATCTGGAAGACAAGTATCACAATCATCACAATACATATCTAAATTAACTGGTCACAATTTCGATGTAGACTTTGCACAAAATTAAGGATGCAAAAACATAACAATCAATTGGCTTCGTTACAAAAAATAAATTATCCTCAACAACAGCATTCATTCGATTCACATCAGTACAATAACCGTTATCCTTTACAATTTATCTCTGGACAGTTAGAATTAAAACATAATTATTCGGATTCTGATGAGCCGTCTAGTTTTTATCAACCAATATCATCAAAACAACATTATTATTCATCATATCGTCGATTTAAAACATGTGATCGTTTGCCAAACATAAACACTTTGAAACTTCATTTCATCCAAAGCCGTTGGATTCTAATATATTCATGTCACATACTGATCATCACCTACCTAGTACGCCAACAGTATCTGGACTTAGTGAATTACAAACAGACAATAAAACAATGTCTTTAACAACACCACCGGCACAAATGCCTACTACTTTGTCTCTCCCACTTCGAATTTCGCGTGAAACAGCATTTAAGCCGATAAATCATAAAACTTTTGATAGAAATGCATCATCCTCCTCTTCTCAGTCTATCCATGAATGTAACAGTGAAAGTTACGTCATCGCTAATGTCAACAATGAAGTAGGTCATAGTAGTAATAACGTAAAAATAAATTCCACACCGAATTTATTAGATTATATTAACACAATTAATTCTTCTGTTAGCAGTTACAAGTATAATAATCCATTGATCTATGCACAACAACAGTTCCACTTACAACAACTTAAACAGTTTCAACAACGTGACATACCAAATCATGGTGATAATAGATTACCGACAACTGGAAAAAACTGTACCACAAGAAGTATGGAAGAACTTTTGAAGCGACAAAAAAAGGTAAATAAATAAATATTCAATGAGTGATTTATGTCAGAATCTGTATTCTGTGTTCAACTAGTTATATCGTGTTGGTGTCATATTTGATAAAGTAAGGGGAAATGTTTTGTTTGTTGTGAATTAATAAAGTCAATGTTTAAAAGAAATTTGTATGGGTAAATGAGTTTCTCAATATCTAATAAAAACACAGCTTTTCTATTGACGAAACGCACCAACATATATGGCTTGAGAGGAAAGAATGAATAGGTACGAGTCATCTATTTAATTGATCTTAACTAATATTTAGATTTTAAATGATCCCGCAAGCGGGATCGGAGATGCGCACTTCTGACGAGTCCCATACTGGGACAAAACGACCGTCTAGTGCTTTTAGGTTTCCCTTGGTGGTCCAGCGTTAATCGATTCATGAATTCCACTATTGATTTTAAACAGCTGATTAATCAATAATCTATTGTATACAACTAATTAATTAAAATTTTAATATTAGAAATATCACAAGCTATAACAATAAAAACTGATTTATAGCATCATATGCTCGATATATACGTTTAATTCATGAAAATCTGGATCCTAATTGAAATTCCAAAAGGAAAGGTTTGTTACATTTTGATTATTGATATTAAGAGATGTTTGTCACGAACAATATCAACGCAAAAGACGCTTTCAATATAAGATATATTTATAGAGTAACAAAACTGAAAAAGAAACAATAAATCAGTATAGGGTTGTGGAAATTCATGAGTTTTATTAAGGTCCTGACCTCATTAATGTTAGAGCATAGCTGAAAAGCTGAAGGCCTTGGACAACCGTTTTGTCCTAGTGTGAGGCTCGTCAGCATCGACTGTAAACTCAGGGACCGAACCCAAGTCTCTTGATCTTTCGTGCACAAACTCTTAATCTTTAAGTCAGTGAGTTTATACTCAACAGTAATAATGTTTAATTTCATTCAATTCACAATATTGGGGAACAAACAAGGACAAAACGGCCATCCAACATTGATGAATATTTGTTATTCCTTCATTTATAAATTATTACTTCATTCTTTGGAGTAGTTAAATTTATATTATTCACTGCCAAGTTCCTTTTACTTTTACAATGAAGGTCAAAATTTCATTTTGTTCTGTTCTAGACTAAATCTCTTTACTTATGAAGCTTTATCAAGATTCAACATAAGATTTCAATGTTATAGAATTGGTTAATTCTATAAACACTGTTTATATGTGGATAGGGCTAATAGATAAAATTCCTAATTCTTAGAATTCTTAACAAAATAATATCTTCTTTTCCAGTGTGTATGTAGATTATTAATTCAAATACATTTATAGCATTTTAAAGAATTTAAATGAAATATCTGTTATGAGATAGTAACTCACTGATGACAATGGTGGATATGTCGATCAATTTCGTGGATTAGTTGAAGTTAGACATTAACACAGTTGAATGCCGGTCAGCTCAGTGGTCTAGTGTTTAAGCGTTCGCATGCGAGACTGACAGGTTATGGGTTTCAATCTCGCGAGGGGATGATCTTGGGTGCGCACTGTCAAGGAGGAGTCCCACAATAGGACGAAACGGCCATCCAGTGCTTCGACGTTTTCCATGGTGATCTAGCTTCAATTGATTCATGATCTCAACCATTGAAATCACTACAATCTTCACAAAACTCCTTTGGATACTAAATGACATTTTTCAACTTTACATTCAATTCATCACGAATCAGTGAATTGTGTAATTCTAGATGTTTTATTTTTGTTTCAGTGAGTCGTTCACAATTTGAAAAAAAAACAGTTTTTAATTAAAATAACAATGATTTTTTTAATTAGAATACACTTTAGTTCTCATGACGTCTTGCAAAGTATATATAAATATAAATTATCGATTGTAACTAATATAATGGTTGTTTAAACTACTTTATCTCAATCTCTCGTATGTTACAGCAATACGTTAAAGTGATCATAAGACTAGTCACATGATGACAGAACCAGGATTGATGACCCAAAATAGAGAACCAAATTAACACTAGATAATATTTTACTCAATACAGTTACATGCAGTCACACTTAGTGAGTCCGAAGTATAAACCAATGACAGGGAGGGAAATCACATATTTAATAGTCCGTTGCCTGTAGCTGTTTGTCTAGGCTCAATGACCCATCATACTTTACTTTCACTAGCATATCAATAACTTTTATCATTGAAGTGATATTATTAACAAACAGTTTTGATCATTGTGGTTTTCATTTGAAAAATAACTAGTTACGTTCAAATGACTTTCTAGTGTGATTTTGTTACCATGTGAAACATAATACAAATTATTTTCGATGTTGTTAACTGAAACACATACCGCTTCTGATGATCTTCAAATTTAAGTTATAAATATATCTCAATAATTGAGATTATGAGTCAATAGAAGCTAGACCACCATGGAAAACCTGGAAGCACATGGGGGCCGTTTCGTCCTATTGTGAGACACCTCAGCAGTGCGCATCCACGACAAAACGGCCTTCCAGTGCTTTCAGGTTTTCCATGGTGGTCTAGCTTTAATTATCTCATGACTTCAACAATTGAAATTGCTACAATCTCCACAAAACCCCTTCTGTTATAAATATATATCATGATTATTTTCGGTGTACTGTAATTGTTATCACTTAAATGAATAAGTGTCTGAAGATGACCTTCAGAAAACCATTAGTCTGGGTTTCTGGCAAGTTGACACTAATCTGTAAGTCATATCCGCAATCATAAAGGGACTGATGCTCCTTGTGATATTTGAAGACGCGTAAACCGTCTCCAAGTCATGAATGTTTACCATGGAGTTGTTTAGCTTGCTAATTTTCTTCTGTAGGACTGAGTTATTTACAAATGATTTATATCTGAGTTGAGGACCAACGCCTTGTTTGTCAATCATTTCTCCATATGTATCTATTGATTAATTGGGTTTTGATGTTATGTTGGTTCTTTCCTTCATAGATTAACATCTAATTACTTATTTGGTTACTCTGTAAAGTTATTTTCAATTATCGCTTGTTTGAATACAGTTACAATGATGCTCTACCTAATGTATACCTGGTGATAGGCAATTAATTTATTCCATACTAAAATCTTCATAAAAAACCAGAATTCACGATATTACGGTCGTAATTAGTGGTGGTGGTCGGTTTCCGGATAGATTTTTCGACGTTTATTTAAAAATTCTTGACCAATCCAGCAAAAAATGCTCAAGCTGAAGCGACAACACATTCAGAACATTAGATTAGGGAAACTATGATTTATAAGCTACCGTTTAGGCTATGAATACTTCATCGTTGTTGTTGAACATTCTAGGTCTTCTAAAAAAGATGGGTTATGGCTAGTAGTGGAATTCAGGTAACTCTAACGCGTTATGCACCGAGTTACTCAGTCTACATAACTACTAACATGTTCAACAGTTATGATCCTCAGATCATCAGTAGTACACGTTTGAGTTATCCCGCTATTTATGTTGGATCTTCTTTAATGTTTTTATGCGTGCATAGAAACTGATGAATACTAAATTTTGTTGTTCCCCACATGATGTTTGTTTTTAGAGTAGTATCCGTTTAATGAGTTAAATATTTTCTTGTTTGAGATTATCAAAAAATTTTCACTTCATAGGTTAATCAAGGTGTAATTGAATTAAATATTTTGTCTACATCCCGAAACTTCCTAAACCAATTCTTAAGCAAAGTATGAAAGCCGAAAACTTTTAAATGAACATTTATAGAATGCAAAATTCCACTTTGTTTAAAAGAGGCCTGATAAGTAAAAAAGAAAAACCAACTCTTCGATTTATATATTGACCATTGAGTATTGAATATTAACATTATCCTATTTATAGTGAAGTAAATTTGTATGTTATGAAAAGACTGAATCATGATCGTTAAGATATGGTTACACAGTTTACTGGGTATCGCGTCTCGATGAGTTTATTGGCTTATGAAATCCCAGACGAAGGCTAAACATATATGTTATCCCATATTGTCGTCATTTGTTCCCTAGTCAGTGTCCGTTCATAATTTTTTTCAGAAAAACTACTTTTAAAAATTTTACAACTGTGGTTCGATTTTGTATGAAAAAATATTGTAGACTTATTTACATTTAAATTGTTTGTTGGCACACTGATAATTTTTTTGGTTGAAAGATTAGTCATAACTTAATGAAACAGAGGTTTAAGGACATAAAATCAAGAAAATGGGGGAACTAGGACTTCCTACTGTGATCTTGGTTTTTAAACATATTTGAAGTAGATAAACACGATGATTTATCTCTTCTACCAATTCTACTACTACTACTACTACTACTACTACTACTACTATCAATTATGACTTTCACCTATTCAAATACACTTGAAAGAAGAAGAACATAAAACATCATTCATCATATGTTTCTGATTGTTTCACTATCAGTCGTTTTCATTTTATCGATTTATTATCATTATTTGTTTCCATAGGCCATTAGGACGAATCGACTTCAATCATGACTAGTTGTTACGTTTTGTCTCCATGACTTTAAATCTGTCTACTGGACTAATCATATACATAAGAAGTGATATGATTGGTTGTCAGAGTGAGCAATTTGTTTTACAAACATACAGCCACTAATTTGTCAACAATTAATTACAGTTCGTAAATTTTCTGACGATTTAATCAGATGCCTCAAAAAATCTTTGGGCCTCAGCCTAACAACTGTTGAAAAGATCAAGTAACTGAATAGTTATTTTGCCTAAGTATGAGATTACCCAGATCTTCATATTATGGTTTGTACCCAAGACATGAAGACCATTGTTTGAGCTCATTATCCTTAAACTACTAACTAGTGAAGCAGTGAAATATTGATCACTTTTGACAAATCGATGATTCCAATATTAATCGATTGTATGGTACAAAATAGTCTATTATAAATGTTTGGATGTTGACTGGATGTAATTACACACTAATATTGAGGTTTTTCCCTCTTACTTCCTCTATTCAGAACTAAGAATAATC